CAGGGCTTCGGGGGCTCTTTGCACTATTGGGCTGGAAGAAACGCTGCACGGCATTACGATCGTCGAACTCGTCTTCATCGTCGCTAGTCTCGTTGAAGTAGATGCTATCCCAGTCACCAGACCCAATACTATGCATAGAGTCGGTCGTATTGGATCTCTTTGGCATCTTCAAAGTGAGCGGGTGCAGAGGCGCCAACTCGTCAGCTACCTCGCGCATCTCACTGTCGGAACGTTCAACAGGTGGGTGTTGATTCTGCTGCCCCTTGACTCGCTCGCCATTTCTGTCAATAGGCTTGTCCATTGGCTCGGCTCGCTCAACTGCAGGCTCGAGCTCAGTGCGCGTGTTAGCCGAGTATGTGTCGGCAAAGTGGGTATCACAAAGATGTTTGATGACAGGCCACCCATATGCGTTGGCGAACATACGGCGTACAATGATGTTGTTATGGGCGTCGGGCTCAAGGCTGACCAATACCTTACGCCACGAGAGATCCTTATGATAGGCGCGGGCAATCTTTTCTTCCACACGCATCACACTGTCATCAACACTGGTTGTCGATGCCTGGCTGGCAACACTATCACCTGAAAAGTTTCGCGTGGCCCTCTTCTTGATTGGTGGCGGAGGGATATCTTCCGGGTGATAGATCCTGTCATGAAAGATGGCGCGTGCTCGGGTGGTTGGATCGTTGATCCATGAGTGCGGAGGTACAGGGGGATTGATCAAATCACCAGCCGACTCGAATATCGTAGTCTTGGGTGGTGCCATGTTGCTTCGAGGATTATCGACAATGGAGTCGCCACGCGTCGCTCGAGGTCTTTTCCTTTGCTGGTCCGTACGCGATGATGACGACGAGTCTTCTGCCTGGGTAGGAGATTGTTCATCTTCATCATCCTTGTAGATCGTCTGGCTTCGCGAGAACATCTTCTTGTCTCGCGAGGTATGCTTTCCAGTGGGCCTGATATAGCTCCACCACTGCATCAGCGTATTTTGCGGCTGAAAATAGTTGTCGTTCGGGTCTCTTTCATCTGGGCTCTTCTTTTGTCCTTCAATCACTTGATGCGCCGCAGTCTCTACTGTAGATACCTGTGTTTCGTCTTCTTGATTGGTCGTATCAGCGCCTGGTAGGGGTACAGCTGTGTCATCGCCCTGAAATGTTGGAGAATCAGCTCCAGAGCTTTCGTCCTCTGCAAAGCCAATTCGTGAAGGATTGGGCGAAGAGTTTTGCCCCGTAAGTTGACCATAACCCCACACAGCAACGGTACCGATGAGTCCGTTTTCTCTCCGGGCTTTCTGTACCCGGCCCAGCCCTCTCCAGTCAAGGAACAAGAGACAGCTTGTACGCAGTGGTACAATGCCATCATTGACGACGTTGGAGTATACGGTGCGATTCCGGAATTTCCGCAGAACCTGGTGCGCAGGCCCCGTAGGAAGAATTCGTAATAGAGGTTTAGCGCCAGGGTCCTCCTGCTGTGAAGCTTGGCCCTGAGTTCCGAACACATTACCCATTGCGGTCCAGCCACTCCTTGCCAGTGTGGGTGCTCTCCAGGTTAGACCGAGATCCTGTCCTGTTCTACCAACCAGTCCAAAGTCCAGTGCAAACTTGACATAGGTGGGGTTCTCATTGCTTAACCCCAAAAACGGAGACGCCAGAGCAATAAAATTGACAGGCTTAATTGTATCGAAGAAGTGAGGGGAGTGTTTGTGGATGTACGCAATGGCGTACGTTTGTACAAGACCGCCAAGAGAGTGGCCGATAAAGCTGATGCTGGTGAACCGGTATGCCCGTTTGTCCCGACCTTTGAACAAGTGATGCACACTACTGCCTTGATGAGCAGGAATGCCCTCATCTGCCTTGTCTCTTGTAGGCGAAAAGGTGTTGGACAGCTTTTGTCCCACGGTCTTCTTGATTGGGAGGTATGGCTGGTCAGGGTACGTTAAACGCAGGACGTACTTAGCAAGTCGCTTCCCCAGATACTGGATGCCGCGTTCGGTGCGTATTACGTTGCCGTCAAAGCCACGTACGACTACTTCTTCCTCGTTTTCTTCGTCTTCATCTTCCGCATCCGATATCTCATCTTGGCCACCAGACAATGGTGCAGTGGATGTGTCCTTGCCTGCAGCTTTGGTCCCACCCCCCTTTTTCTCCTTGCGTCGCTGTCGCCGACTCTCGCGCGCTTGTCTTGCAGTCGCGTCAATGCTCTCTTTCAGGTACAGCATGTCTGCACCGAGATTGCTGTGCAATCCATGTGTTACAATGACGAGGTGAATATTCTTTCTTTTCCGCTCAGCCAGCTCCTTTGCATGGTCAGTATTCTTGGACTCTCCCTCGCTGCCCGGTTCCTCGTCTTTCCATTCCGGCAACTCGGGCTTGTTCCACAAACTAGTTGTATCATCCACTATCAATTTGACTGCCTTAGAATAGACGCCCTTGGGCTGTCCTGCATGATTTGAAACATGCTTCTGGCTTCCTTGCTGGTGGTCCTGAACTTTTCCTGGCGTTCCATGTGTGTTCCCCGTTACAGCGGTGAAGCCAAGGTCAAGTGATCGCTCGTCGCGTGCAACTAGCAATTCGTAGTTTACCGACGCAGAATTTGAGAAGATGATCTGCGATGCAATCTCAATTATCCAAGTGACGGTCTTCGGTTCAGCATTATACCCTGGAATCTCGGTCCTCGCATGCTCGGGCACAGTCAATTTTGTATTCCAGTAACCTCCTGCCTTTAGGTTAGGCTCGAAGTCGGGGGCGCCGTAGATCTTGGCATCTTCATTTTTGACGTTGGGGTTGAAGGTGGAGGGGTAGGCCGAGACGTGGATGGTGTAGGGCCCATGGAGGTATGCGGCGCGCAGAGGAATGGCCGACGAGTTGCGTATACGGACATGGAGGATAGGAGGCGGGGGTAATATTCGGTCTTCGGAGGGCGTGTATGTAAGTGTGTACCTGCCCAGCGTCTTAGCACGGTTGAACACGAGGGACCGTTGAGCGCTTTGGCGTGCCCCAAACCATACGACATGTATGCATGTCCATGTCTGGGGCATGTGCCCATGCCCGTATACAGTAACTCACCTCACAACCTCGCCTACTTTGACAGCCCCTTTTTGGTGCAGCAGCAACATCCTCAGCGCACGCTTCTCCTCAGCTTGCAGCTCCTTGCGCGACTTTGTGCACACGAAGAATGAGGGTTCAGGAAGTTTGCGGCCGGCGTCGGCAGTTTGTGCGTTGGAATAGGTGCGAGGCGTGAGCAGCATTTAGTAGCGGATCCAGCGGAGATTGTTAGGACCAATAGCCAGCAGCCGCAAACGCGTCATAGGACATGCGCAGTCGTTGCTGATCGAGACCCTGGATTCTTATGTATGCAGCCGGAGATCGCGTGGGCGGAAGCCAGAGGAAAGGGATGATATACCGGACGTAGGAGAGAGCATTCGACATTAGCGACGACCTGGGCTGGTCACGCACGCGCTCACTCCAGGGCCACGGCACGTCATTTGCTCGCGTGGCATGCGCGCAGCACGAGGTCGCTGCCAAGCGAGAACATCATCTTCAGCCTCCCATAAAGCATAAGTATATGTATGTACATGCTATAGAGGATTGTGATAGGCCTTGGATGTGCCTAGCCACAGACGGGGGGTGAGATGCGTCTCCAATGACACGCCCCACCATCTGACGTTGCTGTATTGGTGCCAAGAAACCCTTCCTTCGGGACTATGCCATCCGACATCCGTATTACTACTGTACTACATACCTGCCATAGACACTTCCCTTGACAATGTCTCATGACCGTCATTTTGGCAAACTAGCGTCACTTGGTTGGGAAGCGAATCGAGTGGTATGACGTTGTTTGCGTCATCTTCGAAAAGAAAAGTCAAGATTGAAAAGAAGAAAATAATTCATGACATGTAGTGGATAAAGTATGTTAGGATGACCATATCTGTCTTGCCAAATCCCATGTCATCCCACAATAAACAAGCAACCACTCCTGGCTCCGAAGGCCCAACAGTCCAGAGAGAGGTGCCAACGAAACTCGGCGTTCGGGAGAACCGCTGACTTCGCCAGCGCGGATGTTGACGTTGAAGTTTCATTTAACATCTTCCAGGCCCGGAATCCCATTATTGGGAGCCGGGCTACTACCCTCGAAACCCTGTCCAGTTAGTTAAAAGTACAACAATCAGTGACCAAGAACGTCTTACCGTATCATTCCTCCAACAAAGATGCAAGACCCCTGCAGCAGGGTCATGTCATACCGAAATGGCAAAACAAAGGGCAATCCGCGCCCTCCAAACCTTCTTGTCTCTTCTACTCTCATAACATGTGGGCAAGGGGTGCGATTGGGAGCCGGAGCTGGTGCTCAATCATGGTGAGCTCCTTGATGGGGGGAGGCGTCGGAATGGGAAATTAGGAATGGAAGGGAGGAAATGATAGTAGGAGGTATAGATGGAGGAAGAATGGAAAGATGGAGGTATAGAAAGATGAGATTAATAATGAAAATAACAATGAAAGTAAGAATGTGTGTAATAATAGAAAGTGATGTGTGTGGTAGAGGATATGGGTTGAGCGAGGCGAGTGCAATCTATATGCCTGGTGGGACCGGGTTAGCGCGAACGGCGTCGTTTGCAACACTACCACGAGGACGGATTGCGTTATCTTCTGCCTCTTTTCACTCCAAGGCAGACGCGTGGATGGGCGTTTGCAGGGCTCCAGTGAGCGGGATGAGTATTGTACTTTCACTCTGCCAAGGCAACACCACGGTGAAGAGACTTTTCAGGTGAAAAATTGTGAACGCATTAATTTATTTCAGCCTCTAGGTCGCTACCTGTCGCGAATACCAGCCTGCCGTATACCACTTTCGTGTAATTCGAAATTTTGGCGAAGAAGCATCAAACAAACACAAGTAGCACTTTGACATCGTTCATGCACCATGAATATATTTAGAACTTCAATAGCAATGGCGCAGTGAGACCACACCATTCTACATGAATCCATACTCCCTCCCTCTCCATAATCCTACTACGCAAAAATCGTCCTCAGAATCGCTCCATACGCCTCCGCAGCCTGCACCAACTCCTCCTGACTCAACATCTCATCCGGCGTATGCGCCACCTCAATCGTACCCGTCCCATACAAATACCTCTTCTCCACCTGCGGCAAATTCGGAATATCAGTCCCGTAAAACACCGGCGCAACCTCCAAGCCCTCGATATCCGTATCCAGAATCTGCGCTCTCGTCGACAGGGTAGAATATGTGTATTCGAACGTGGCATTGACTTCCTTGGCGCTGCTGACGAGCGGAGCAAACAGACCGGAAACCATATCTTTGATAGTGTCGACAGCATTGTCTTCGCTGCGTGCAACACGGACTAAGACGCTTGCGTTGGCGTTGGGAGGCACGACGTTGCTGGCGACACCACCAGCGATGAGACCCGTGTTGAGTGTTGAAGCACCCAAAAGTTCGCTCTTGGGGAGAGCGGGTTCCAAAGCCCTTAGTGCGGAGATGGCGTCGACGACGTAGTTGATGGCGCTTACACCGAGCCACGGGTATGCGGAATGAGACGCCCTGCCGATGGCTTTGAGAGTGATGCCGAAACTGCCTTTGTGGCCGCTTGCAAGCTTGCCTTCGGTTGGTTCGCCGAAGATGCCGGCTCGGAAGGTCGTGTTAGATGCGTATTTTGCGAATGCTCTCATTCCTGCACCGGAGTTTTCTTCGCTAACGACGAATAGCATGCCTAAGCTAGTTGTTTCATTCCGGGACTGAAGGAATTTGTGGGATGCGATGATCATGGTTGCGACTGGTCCTTTGGCGTCGACGGTTCCTCGGCCAAAATGGTAGGTTGTGCCATTCCTCTCACGGCGTTCAAATGGATAAAATGGTGGTACCTATTTTCCAGTCAATAGTTGTTTGTGATTTACAGACCCAGACGCTGCGCGTACAGTATCAATATGACTAGTGATGAGAACCTCCGGCCATACTCCCTCGTCCTTCAACGCTTGGGGATAGGCAAAGACATTGTATGTGCCTGTTTCATTGACTGGTACTTTATCGACAAAGTAGCCCAAGTTGGTTAAATACTTTGATACAAAATCCGCACATTCGATTTCGTCTCCAGAGATGGATGGGATGTTGACAAGCTCTTCATGGAGGCTGTAGAGCTCCTCGACTTCCTCTGTAGAGAGTAAGACTGCCGGATCCAGCCCGGTTGGGCTAGGAGAACTGACAGCAGATGAGGTCACTGAGGCTTGGGGTGCTGCGCTAGCTAATTGAAGGGCAAGTAATGCCACAATTGATCTTATCAAAGCCATGATAGAGCTCGTCGGACGAGTTTCAGCAACGAGAACCTGGGGCTAATTCTGTAGGAATTTCTCTGGGTTTTATACTTGTGCGTAATCCATGTCACACAAACCATTCGGCATCTTGATGCGAGTAAGCTTTCCCTTTTCTAACAAAGGGCCTCCGATAGCTTGATCTACAATGGCAGAATATGTGAGGCACCAGCACCCCAACAATTGGCATACGTCGTCCGGCATCAGGGCTTGCAAAGATTGGGTGAATGTACGTTCATACCAAGACTTGGTGCAGCTACAACATGCTTACTGGGTATTTGACTGGCATTTTAGGCATGATCGGCCATGTCAAGTCTCGGGCCAAGTAAACGGACCCGGGCTACTGTAGCTGTACAGATAACCGGGAAGGCATGGGGGCATATTTACGTAATCCATCACTCTGCAAGCTGGATATAAAATGCTCGATTGTGCCTCTGTAGAGCATAGTCAAATGATGTCAAACGGCAGCAATGTTGCAAATGCGGGGTGGGAGCTGTTATCGGATCCAGGGTCGCCATAAGCGTGATCTTGGCAGCCATGGCAACATGGGAGGCGTCTTCGGCTCTCGTGTGTCCTGCCCGTTTGGGTGAGGTGAAGTGGGTGCTGGAGGAGTTGTAGAAGTACCGGATTTACGCGCAGAGGAACGTAGATAACTAGCCAAGGAAACCAATGGCTACATACATGGCGATTAGCCCGCAACAAGCCTTTGCGGCTCCCGATGCCGCTGGTAGTGGTCTTATTGTCAGCAGTAGAGCTTCCACCCCACATGGTCTAATATAGGCGTTAGTACACGGACAATTTCGCACGATAGAGAAGGTTTGAGATATTTGGTTGATCTTAAAAGAAACCCAGGAGGTCTGCGGATGGCTCAATGCGGTAAGTCACCAGAAGCTGTATGATGGGCTGCGCTTCAAAAGTGATTTACCTTCAACGATAACTGCCCCAAACGTTGCAAGCTCAGACTCAGAGCATGAGAATGAAGGTATCTCTCCAGAGCTTTATGACCAAAGATGATGTCATCTATGTTGTTTCTTCTTTTCGGAGATATTACGGTAAATGTGGTGGCGGCGCTTCTCTGCGAAGTCGTTCCAAGAGTAGTAAAAAGTGCTGAACAAGGCAGCGCTGAAGGATACAGCTGCAAGTATACCCAGAGGCTCACGAGGATACCAGCGACAAATTCTGGTCACAATGCGGCCAGCAGGTGATGTTCAGACGCAAAGGACCGAAAGCGGATAGCGCGACGCCGTTGTTGGCCGGCGACTGACGTGCATCCCGTGGATCACCAGGCCGCTCAGGCTGTTCCGCATCTCCGCCGCGTACCCGGGCTAAGCCTCAGCTCTCGCTACTTGTGCTTGTGGCTCTCCTTGTATCTCCCCTCATATCCACCACCCTCGTTGCATTGATTTGAAGACCAGCCATCATGTTCGGCTTCATTGCCGATGGCCTGACGTAAGTTATACCCCGCCCCCCCGCGTTTCAATGTCCAAGCAAACCCAGTCGGACACGGCTTATCGTGAATTTGGCCGCCCAAAGTGTGTAGCATGCGAGCCATTACTCAATACAGGCTCTTGAACCTATGATTTCTTTCCAAAGACAACGACACACTGTATGAGTGCTTTCACTAACAACTCACCAGTGTTGTCACTACAGTCTTCTTTCCCATCTTCGCATCATACAAAGCCCTCCACACATCCGACCCAGCCCTCCTCGCTCCGTGGCTGATCTACTTTGTCGTTTTATCCGCTTGTTCAGCCGTCGAGAATACATTCGACTTCATCCTGAGTTGGGTGCCATTCTACTCATGGATCCGCTTCTTTGCACATCTATATTTGATCCTGCCGGGCGCTCAGGGTGCAAGTTACATCTACCAAGAACACTTGGAGCCGTTCTTGTACCACCACGAGAAGGAGATTGATGACTTTATAACCCAGAGCCATGACCGTGCGAAATCGGCAGGCATGGCCTATATCGAGATGGGCATCGAGTGGGTCAGGGTCAACCTGCTAGGTTTCGCACCTCGCAAGCCAGATGCACCCCCGCCAGCTGGACAGACATATGCACAGAGCCTTATGAGCAGATTTCAGATGCCCGCAGCAAGGGGTAGCAATGACCTATATGGTCTCGTGAACCAGGCACTCAGCGGAGCGAGCGCACTATACACTGCTGGCACTGCCGAAACAAGGGATGCACAGGCCTCTGACCTGAGCCGTGGTGCAGCCAAACTCGTCCCAGACTCGATCCGCAATAACGAAGACCGACTCAACTACGTGGCATCGCAGCGCCAGCGCCTCGAAAGCCTCCTGCAAGCGTTTGACCGCGAGCAAGAAAATATCCGCATCCAGCAAAAGGGCGGAAACACACACTACGAATCCAGCAGGAGCAGTGGTAGTCTGTCCCGCAACAGGAGCGAAGCAGAGTTTGACAGAATCGAGCGTGACGAGCTGAGCTCTGGATCAGACCGGCCACCATACCCCATCACACCACCTCCCCTTGGTCGGAGGACGAGCAGTGGATGGATGCCATGGAACTGGCAGCGTCAGGAAGCATCTCAAGACGACCCTCTGGCATATGGACGAGACCCCGGCGAGCTGAGAAACAGATCAAGGGGGTCCGGGTTTGATCTGGGAGATCGCTAGAAAAGGTCCCCAAGATGATCAAGACCCGCGGGATAAATATAAATGGCTTCTGGCGTTTTGACGGCACAAAAAAGTAGATGATGGTATTACAACTGAAAAAACCTCACGACTGTATCATAAAAGCCGTGTGTCTACTTCCCTTAGCCAAAAACTCGATAGACATGAGTGGTATTGCTACAAACCGAGGTATAACATGCATATCTCTAAGGGCAGAAAACGCTCAACGCCTCCCGCCCCATAAAATGCGTGATTCATGACTTTCTATAACTTGACCTCCTTGAACGGATACTTTGGGCTATCATCTTTCCTCAGGACAATCTTGCGCTTCTTCTTTGTAGTCGCGTGCTCGACCCACACCTCCTTTGTCATCTTACTCGTAAACTCGCGGATAAAGCGCGGGTCCCAGAGTTCAGAAGCGATGCCCAGATCCTTGCAGCATCGCATCAGGGCGTTGGACTTGCAGCCCTCGGTCGCAGTAGGGATGCCATCTGGGTCGAAATATTGTTGTTCGCCGCGGGCAATGGAGACAAGGCTAATAAAATCCCATCGTCAGTATGGCTGTTCACGTGGTGGAAGATATGTATGCAAACGTACCGTCCTTGTACTACTAATCCGTACTCCCTCGTAACCAACTTCGCAGTTACTATGCTCTCGCCTCTCGGCGCAAGACCCCAGCCACCAGGTCCAAACGCCTTGTTCAGAATACGTCTGTATTTGATCTCGGGGAGGTACAAAATGCCGTCTGGCTTGACTTCGACGTCGTCCTGTGTGACGGGTGCGAGTAGGGCTTCAGATTGCTCTGGCGTAAACGACACACTGCCGAGGCCGTGGTACGAGCGCGTCCAGTCTATTGCGGGCACGCCTTCGAGCTCTGGCGGCGCATCAGAGAGGCCTTCGGTGAGCGAACGTTTCGATTGAGCGGCCGCGGCGGCAGAATCTGCGGTGGCGTTGCGGGTCGTGGGGACTGGGGGTTCTTTTGCGGGGAATTGAGGTGTTACGGTTCGCTGGGGGGTTGATGTTGTGGTTGAGGAAGCGGGTTTCGCGGCTGTGGAGGAGGTGGTGCTTGTTGTTGCTGCTCGTGGTGGGGTCGCATTGTATGCGGCGTTGATGCGCGAGGAAGATAATGTACGGGTTTGTGTCCTGTGTGCCAATGGTGTTGTTCTCGAAGAGGAGGCCTTGAATAAGGCTGATATGCCACTTTGTGTTGGTCTCGCTACCATGGTTTTTGTTTCTTTATATTTTTTTGGTGGATTGGAATTGGGAGCGTCTAAGATAAGTCAGGGAACGTCGCTAACGCGAAGTCACGATCTGATGGGTGCACGGACCTCTTGTAACGGCTGGGTATGTGGCTGACAAGCTGACATCACCCTGTGCATTATACGGTCATCCAACGCAATGAACTAACGTAGGACATGCATGCTCAGCATCGCTACTACTAGTATGCAGTAAAACACGGTGACTCGCTCAACTTTCTTCTCCCAAGACACTCGAACATCACATATGGGCGTCTGTCTGATTGGCGTAATATCCGATATTCTGCTGATGGACCGCGTAATTGGTATCGCCCATGTCCATAAAGCGACCATGAAACACATCTGCTAATTGGCCGCGGACTAGAACCGTGCCACTCCATATTGTTTGCAGATCGGATAACGGAACCTTGTATGTACCGTTGGTAACCAGCATAAAGAACGCTTGTTCCAAGCTACAGGGCCCGCGTCCTACATAGCGGGCTGCTGCCTCTTCTCTCCCTTTGCCGCAATACGACGCCTCTGCCAACCTCACCAAGCTCCTTCAAAATGGCCTCCCTCCTGAGCCTCTTTGGCGCTTTGATAGCTCTGGTCAGCATGTCCTCAACTATGGCAACTTGCTCAATGTCGTTTCGAGGCTGCCAAACTAACTGATGACAGGTTGTCTTTCGCTTTGTTGCAGTAGCTGTATATCGAATTTATTTCCATCCCCTCCGTAAATTCCCGGGCCCCAAACTGTTGGTCGCAACACGCATTCCAGTCCATATTGCCGTTGCAACCGGCGCTCGCGACAAGATGTATCAAGATATGCACCGTAAATACGGGCCGATAGTTCGAATTGCTCATAATGAACTAAGTTTCATTGATCCTGGTGCGTGGAAAGATGTGAGTAAATTCTTGGTCTACTATCTATGCGGCGTTGGCTAACGGCCTTACAGATCCACGGCCATGGCACAAAAGGAACAGCAGGCTCTTTGCCTCATAAAGACCCGATACGATACCCAGAGAGTCTCAATGGGGCATTCAATCTCCTTAATTCACCAGATGACGTTCATACTCGCCAAAGAAAAATCTTTACTTCAGCCTTCTCGGATCGCGCTCTAAAACAGCAGGAACCTCTCTTCCTCAGGTACATTAACCAACTTGTAAGCGTGCTGAAAAAAGGCGTACAAGAAAATCCAGAAACAAAATTCGATCTCGTCCGGCTCTTCAACTTTACCACCTTCGATGTTATGGGCGATTTGACGTTTGGCGAGCCCCTCCATATGCTCGACAACGCCGAATACGATCCGTGGGTCAGTAACATTTTTGGAGCCCTCAAGCTCTCAAGTATCCTGACCCTAATGCGGTTCTACCCATTGCTATGGAAACTATTCACAATATTCGCACCAGCTTCCATCTCCAAGAAACGCATGGACCATTTCAACCACTCCACCACACGTGTCACAAAACGCCTCGAAAAAGGCCGTGATAGCCAAGGTGTTGATCTCTGGGACCTGGTACTGAGCCAGAAGGAAGGCAAGGGTCTAACACGACCAGAAATGGACTCAAACGCGTCCGTCTTCATGATTGCAGGCACGGAAACTACGGCAACCCTCTTATCAGGCCTGACATACCTGCTCCTCCGCAACCCTGAATGCATGGCAAAATTGTCTCAGGAGATACGCAACGAATTTGAGAGCACAGACGACATGACCATGGAACGCCTCGCTGCTCTACCTTACTTCGCTGCTTGCATCAAAGAAGCTTTTCGTATTTACCCACCAGTTCCTCTCACGTTACCTCGTCGCACACCCGCAGACGGAACCACCATCTGTGGCAGATTTGTGCCTCCTCATACCACTGTGGGCATTCCACAACATGCCATGTACATGAGCGAGTGCAACTTCAAGCGCCCGACGGAGTTTCTGCCCCAACGGTGGCTGGGTGACCCGGAGTTTGACAGCGATGAGAAGGCGTGCCTTCAGCCTTTTTCGATTGGGTCGAGGGATTGTGTTGGGAAGAAGTAAGCCCTTTTTTCCCACTTTGGCTATATATACCATGTTTTGTTTTTCTAGGGAAAAGGAGACTGTGCTAACTTGTGCGTGACTTTAGTATGGCATACCATGAGATCCGGCTCCTTGCTGCAAAAACTTACTATCACTTTGACATCGAGCTTTGCGATGAGAGCAAGAACTGGATCGATCAGGCGACATATATTTTGTGGGAGAAGTCACCGCTTTTGTGCAAGATGAGGCCGGTGAGGTAAGATTGTGTAATATGACCAATTTGGTAATTCTTTTTCACTGTCAAGATTGAAGATATCTCATGTCATGTAATCGCTGATGTATTTATTTTAACTAGTAAAAAGAACATGTGATTTCACGGAAAATAACTCTCCATCTTCTTTCCTTCTCATCCCCCCCCCCCCCCCCAAAAAAAAAGAATCCACCCCTCTTCAACTCCCACAACAAATCTACTTCTTCTTCTCCACAATTCCCACATCCTCCACCCTTAACAGCCCCGACCCCATCCCCGCAACCGCCCACGTCCCATACTTCAAACTCGGATTCCAAGCCAGAGCCGTAACCGCGGACTTCTCTTCGAAAATACTAATCGACCGCCCAATCTCCGGGTTCCCTTTCCTCTTCGACACAGAGCTACTCGCGATACCCTGCTGCACCGCCTTGTAACCCTCCGACATGCGTACAAGAGGTTGTGCGAGAATGTCCTCTGGTACCTTCGCCACACTGGCATTACTATCTTCTTCTTTTTCTTCTCCTTCTCCAGATCTTTCTTCTCCGTGAGCGTTAGTTATAGTGACGGGTTTAACCGTCAACTTCCCTACTTCGCTCCTCCACTCATGCACAAACCATTTCTGCTGCCACGGCACAACCTTGTAATTCGCAATGCGCATCACGGGGTTACTCGTCTGTACGTCGCCGTCCGTGCCGCCGACCAGGACGCCCGGGTGCACGGGACTCGTAGCCACGCGCGTGATGCTATTGTCCAGTCGCATGCTGTACAAGTTGTGGTAGTAACGGCGGAGTGGCGTGTGCCGTAGGATGTAGTGTTCGTCGGGCATGACGAAGGACTGCGTGTGCTCGTGCCAGGCTTGCGTGAGGCATAACGTGCGGCCGCGGATGGAGGCTGTGGTGTCAGCGGTGGGGCTGCGCAGATCGAAGAGGCGGGCGAAGCCGTCGGCGGTGCTGATGGAGAGATAGTGCGGGTTTGAGGGCCAGGCAGAGGAGATGGTTAGGATGAAGGTGTCGGCTAGTTGGTGGTAGAACCAGGGGCGCGGGTTGTTGGTTGGGGAGAGGGTGCCAGGGCGGGTTAGGGTCCAGATGGCTACGGTGCCAGCAGCTGTGGCGACAGCGAGAGTGGTTCCTGAGAGCCATTGGAGACAGGAGGGGACGGTTTGGGGGATTGAGACTTCGAAGGCTGTGTGCGAGAAGCGGAGGTATGTAGGTTGACATTGTCCGTCTGGACGCTTTGGGACACAAAGGTTGAGGATACGAACTCGTCCGTCTGACCAGATTACTGCGAGCATGCCGATATGAGTTTCCGTCTCAGTATCAGAGTCTGCGTTTGTGTCTGCAGCAGCGACTGGACACCACCGCAGTTGTTTAGGGGCACCCCAGTTGGCGCAAACGACAAGTTCAAGTCTAGGTTCTTTTGAGCTATCCAGTTCTCCTTCTTCAGTAGCTTCAAACGCCCAGATCTGAATGGAGGCTGGAAATGGCGCCGTAGCACTGAAAGCAGGCGCCTTTGGTATTTCCATTGGTTTGGGTCGGTTTCCATCCATGGGGCGCTGCTCAACTGCGACAGCAACATACTGTGTTCGACTGTCCTCCTTGGTGGCCCACTGAGCGTCTTGTATCCTGGATCCAGAATTGAATAGCCATCCCCTTCTGCTGTCCTTGTCTGGGAAAGACTGTCCAACATGCATATAAGTGCCTTTTTCGAGAGCGGTAACCTGGGGACTATCAACAGGCCCAGTGAGTACATTCAAACTCTCTGGTCCATCATTCCGCATGTACACCTTAGCTTCATCCTTAGATAATTCCTTGGTAGCCTGTGAGGCTTCAAATACCATCTTTCCCGTATGCCTATACCATTGTTTCAGCACCTCACTCTCTTTCTCCCTAGTACCCTCCTTTTCAAAGAAGCTTCTTCTCAAGCCCCCCAACTCAGTCTGGCCAGGGTCAACTCGCCCAGGCTTTTTGATCGGAAACGTCTCCTGAGAACTCCAGTAGTCGCGAGACGCCAAAACAGGTCTAAGATGCTGGCCATCCGGCCCGAACAAGTTTTTCAACCGCGGCTCATGGCCTCCAATCTTGTCGAAATCAGGTACGCCGCGTGTTCGCAGCTTGTTCTCGGCATCTACATTGCGCACTTTAATACCACTGCCTTTAGCGAATATAATAGGCGAGGGTACATGCTCTGTAGATGGCTTGTTGCGCTGGACAAGCGGCGTGGTGGGCTGCTTGACGGGAGTAGCTTTTGGCCCGCGAGCGCCGCGTTTGGGGGTTACAAGGCTATCATCTGATTCTTCCTCGTCTTCTTCTACGTCTTCGTTTTCGTCATTCTCCTCCTCTTCATCTTCAAAGTCGTCTTCGGCTTCTTCTTCCTGGGCATCGGGCATGAAATCGTCTTCGTCTTCATCATCGTCCTGGAAGGCTGGCGATTGGTTACCAGATGCTGCAGACCCGTCTTCTTCGTCAAGAAACGAGTATTCGTCCTCAACGCGGTATGATTTGCGTTGCTTGCCTCGTGATTGTCGGGGTGACGAGAAGTCTAATCATCGGAAATTAGCATTGTCAAGTGTTTTGCAAGTCGCGTGGGCAAGTGCAGCATGGTGTTCAAGCATATTTTATCTAGGTATAGAAAATTTGAGCAAACATGTGCGCTTGCCAGCCTTCGCAACAACGTCAACTGGATGCATGTTGAGGATTGTATTTAGAAAAGCACCATAGATGTTAGAGGATCCAAGACCTACCTGCAGGCATGTTGAGTTACGTGCTGTGTGTCGACCGATTGGGTAAAGGAAGAATATACCGAACACCAGCAAAAACGCTGCCCCACCTATGACGATTGGCACAGACCCCACGACCCCGCCACACACGTTCAAAATTCCTTTACACTCCCAGCGATTCAGGTGTAAGAAATTTGTTACAACTCGAAGATGGCTTTTCATGTGATGTTGCCAACTATTAGTATCGACCAACTGCAATTTTCGTCATCAAAGAAATACCACGGTGGTATGGTCTAGTGGTATGACGTCGCGTTGTGGCTGGCGGACACTCAGTTGTCCCGATCCAGATCCGCGCCAGCCTGGGTTCGAGTACGTTCAACCTCACAAATTGGTGGTCCTGAGACATTTCTAACGTGTCTACAGTTCCCAGTACCGCCAAGTAATTTGCGACTTGCTTTTTTGCACTTTTTTTGGTATGAAATAGTGCAGCTTCTTACTTTTGCTCGTGGTTGGTGCATATCGGCAGGGTAGGTACGCAACCACCATTGCCTGCTTTTAAGCCGACACAAGGAATACACACTAGTTGACTGGCTTTGATATGTGATCTTTTTTTCAGGAAATCAATCAGTTCTTTTGCTAGCCTATCCTTCACAATGTTTTTCATTTAGTTCGTTCTTGGATCACGAGTAGATCATTATCGAAATTCATATTCGACTGAAGTACCCATCAGAAGACACAATGGCAATCTAAGTATACTCATATCGCCCTTCCTTATGATACTGCCTCCCAGGTTGTGTAGCCGTATTGAATCAATTAATTCTTTGTAAATTTTCTATCATGGAAGACAATGAATTTCACTAGTACACCAGATCAACTTCACACAAGTTCACAAATCAGCACAGTGAGATCTCCAAAAAGCCGTTTACGTATTGCGTATGCATACGAGCCCTATAAAACCGGGTATCTAGAACACAGCATAGGGAACAGGAAAAAGAAATCCAAGTGATACCAATACATGTCCTCCCTCCGTACGTCCACAGTTTGAAAGAAAGAATAACAGGTACGGACGTGCACTACTATCCGACAGGTAATAGTACAGTGATACATTAATAAGAAAACGATCCAAGAAAGCTACAACAAGCCCTCATCGCCGCAATCCAGACTACCAAGAAAACTGTTTACCTCTAATCCACATCCATCCGATCCTCATCCCTCGCCCTCGCCGGCCTCGGAGCAGTGACATGAATAGTATCACTATCCATTGTCTCATCATCATCCGGGTCATCATCTCCGCGTTCAGACTCGATGCGTTTATCCACAGGAGCCATCTTTGCTGCTGTTGCAGCTAAGTGGGGGAAAAGAGGCTTGTTCAAAGCAGCAATGGAGGCAGAGCGACGTAAAGTGTCGTTTTGAACTTCTTGGTGGATTTCCTCGACTTCGTCTTCATCGAGTTCGCTAAGCTCGCTTTCGTCGTCGGCGTCATCATGGACGGAGGCGGGAGCGCTGGGGGCGGGTTCGTCGTTGTTTACGCTTGGAGCGGCGGTGGCGGTTTCGCTTTGGTCGAAAGAGGGTTGAAGGTTTTCAGTGGATGTGTTCGGTTCAGCAGTGGGCTCGGCGGTCTTGTCTGGTGATGCTGCTGCTTGATCGGTGACAGCAGAGAGCGCCTCATTGGCAGGGGGAGGTGATCGAATTGGAATCGAGGTAGATTGAGCGGAGGCAGCAGCAGTCTTCTGGACACATGCTTCAGCCCTTCTTGCGATTTCCCTACGACCGACTGCCTTGACTCTGGGCTTTACTGGTTGTTCAGGTTGTGCCGCCATCTGAGGCATCTGGTTGGTGTGTTGAGAGGGCATTTGACCGGAATGGTACATGCTGAAAGGTGATCCGTTGCTTCCTTCTGCTGAGCCATCAATCTGAACTTGCATCAACGATGAGATGGGTACAGCGCCTGTAGATGTTACAGAGCCTCCAAAAGGTGCTGGTCGAGGCTGAGCAAGCAGAGCTTGTTGTTGTTGCTGCTGCTGCTGCTGCTGTTGTTGTTGTTGTTCTTGCTCCGATGGGAGGGGTGACAAAGTGGGACCAATCGATGTATACAACATCGCATAAGTATCTCCAATGAGGTCGTCAATGAGAAGAGGCTTCATCATGCCGTTGTTGAGGCGTTTGAGTTCGATCGCGTCGCGGAGAACATCCAGTACAGGGTGTTGCGTAGCTGAGTTTTGACACCACGCCTCCAAACGAAGAGCAAGCGTGTTGAATTCATCATGATTGACGGATTTGAAAGCTGAATCTTC